TAGTTCATTATAGATACGTCTATATAAAACATGTACCTGCTATAAGTATTAATAAAAAGCTCGGACCAAAGAGGTCATCTTAATACTGAAAAAAAAAAAAAAAAAAGTCATATTATTAAGTATTAAAATATAATTGTAATTAATTGTCCGAAGCGTAGCGAGGACTCATTTGTCAGATCAAACTTGAATGCATGTTCATGCAATGTTAGTCGGAAAACGCCAATCAAAATCGAGAATTAACGGTTCCCATGATGATCTTCAGTCAGTGTAACAATATTTATATATATGCGATCCAACATAATAGAAAAACACGTATACGGGATTCAACATAAAAAATAAAAAAATATCATAAAAGTCGTTAACTCTATTTAAACTTTTTATATTGTTAAATAAAAAAAAATATATAGTTATTAGTCTGCGGAACAAAAGTAGAATATTATAATTCTAAAAAAAAATTAAATGCTTAAGCTACTTTAAACATATGCCAGATTTATTAAATAGTGAATTTATCTTATTGTTCTTTATAATTCAAGAATAATTTAAATAGTTAAACAGTAATTACCTCACAACAAAAGATATCATATCTTATACCAAAAAATTTAGCGAAATAAAAGGAAAAAAGTATGGTACACATAATTTTTACTTTCGATTAGGAACTAATTAACACAAAATATACATTGAATCAAATAAAATTATGTTGGTATAAACTGTATCTTATGTAGTATATCAAATTACTAGATTTTCTGTTAACACGCTCTTATAACTAACCGCATATATAGTTTCAGCATGTTATAGTAAAGATAGCATACAATAACGAATTAAAAGTATAATTATACTGTCGATAAAGCCCGTACAAATCCCAAACTCTGGAAAAAAAGCCAATACCATTGATAAAAAATTAAATAAAAAAATTATTTTTGATATTATGTAAATATATTTTATATAACTATGAGAAAATATATTAATTATTAAATAAAGATTATCAACAGTGTTTTTAAGATATTAGTCAAGAATGTATGCCCTGATAATGTTCTGAGATTTAGGCGAAAGGTATAATGTTTAGAGTATAATTCAGTTAGAGAGTGCTATTTTGATCGGTAACCTGAGTTTGAATTTTCTCAGAGTACAACCCCTAATAAAAATTGCATAAATCTTGGTCAGTTAAAATAAATTTGCCAACTTCAATCTTTTCCAGTTTACTAAATACTTATCTTACAAGATTCCGTAACAATTCAAAGATGAGTAGTCAACCACTAAAATGTAAAGGCAAAGAAAATGAAACTTCAAGCGAATGTCGTTTATATAGTGAATGTGATAAACTAAGATATCAAGAAAAAAAAAAGCAAGAAAGCGCTGAAGAGCGCAACGAACGTCTAGCAAAAGCTCATGAACATATGCGAAAAAAAAGACGATGTGTTTTAGAGCCTAATGAACTGGCAAACAGAATTGTAACTGAAACAGAAGTTCCTGAAAACACACTAAACATTCAGCAACTATCAGAATCTGATCATAAGCTTTTAAAAAAATTTCGTACTGAGATAAATAACTTGACGCATCGCTTTTGTCCTACATGCAAAGAATGTTTTCCTTCAATAACACTCGTTATGAGAGAATGTAGACGCTGCTATTCTGAAAAGGATGATATAAAAAAATTCTCAGCTGAAAACAACATGGACCCTGGAGATGTATCCAAAGAGCTGAAGTGTCTTACTGAAATCGAAGAAATGTTAATAGCTCAGGTGTTCCCTGTTGTGTCCGTATATTACCTGCATGGGGGTCAGTATGGTTACCATGGAAATGTTATTAATTTTCCCTAGGACATAAAAGAGTTTGTAATTCGACTTTCTCGACACCCCAAATCATTAGAGATGCTAATTGTATGCCACCAGTCTGCTAGAAGTCAACATACATTCAGAGACTTCACTATTCGCCGGGCTAAGGTTGAAAAAGCACTTTACTGGCTAAAGACCAATAATCACTACTATAAAAATATTATCATTGATGATAATGTGCTACATTTTCTACCTGATGATGGTCCTGTTGATGATCAGCTTTTACAACTTCAAAATGAAAATGAATTGCAGGACGATGAGTTTCTGGATATGGAATATGATCATCTAACTAATGATACCGGGGATGTAGTTACACGTAATTTCGTTCCTACCCCTGCTCCGTCTTTTAACAAAGAATTTGCTATTAGTGATATGCTTTCACAAATGCAAACTGAAACTCATCCAATTATGTGGCCAAGGATAGAAGAAAATCCTATTAACGAATTTAGCATACCAGGTTATATTGCTTGTGCTTTTCCAACCCTATACCTAACAGGAGATGCTAACCTTCATGCAGAGCATGTAAAAGATGTCAACCCAGCAGAATATTTCAAGCATTTACTTAAATATAAAGGTGGAAGGTTTGCACGTCATCCTCAATGGCGTTATTTTGCGTTAAATTCGCAAATGAGATGGAAGGCGTTGCAAGAAGGGAGAATCTATATAAAGCAGTGTCAAGATGGCATACAGCTTAGTGTTGAAGAAATACAAGAATTAGCAAATAGTGATAGTCATCTTGCAGATAAAGTAATACGCTTCAGTGAAGATTTGCGTGGAACTCGGCAATTCTGGAAAAGACGACATTTTGAATTGTCAGATATGATCAAGCAGTTAAAGACACATGGAATGATTTTTTTCACCTTTAGTGCTGCTGACTTACATTGGCCAGATCTTCATAACCTTATGCCGCATGGTGAAAATCCAGTAGATGGAGAGTCGGAACAAGAGGCATGCAAACGTCGACATCAAGATTTAATAGATAATCCTCTTATCGCTGCCTGGTTTTTTGAAAAGCGATTCAAAGTTTTTTTAGAAAAAGTCCTTATCCCTAAGTTGAAGTTGGAGGATTGGTGGTATAGGTTCAAATGGCAGCATCGTGGCAGTGTTCACATCCATGATATTAGAAAAATTAAAGATGTGCCTGTATTTGAGTGGGAAAAAATAAAAAATAATGAAATGGAAATTAATACAATAGTTCAATACTTTAATTCAATAGTTACTATGATTAACCCAGGACTCAACGCACCTATACCAGAACGTCACCCTTGCCAAAAAAGCAGTGAAGAATTAAATGACGACTTACATGATTACATTGAGCTTATTAACAAATTACAATGTTATACACGTTGTGGTTCTTCATATTGCCTTAGAACAAATAAGGAAGGGCAACAACAATGTCGATTTGGATATCCTAAAGATAATATAGACCATACCTTTATTCATGACAACAATGGCCAACCAGAGCTCTTTACAGCACGAAATGATCCTTATATCAATCCGCATAACCGTCTTCAGCTTCAAGGATGGCATGCAAACGTTGACATAAAACCTATTTTGAATATCCATGCCGCTCTACAATATGTTGCGAAATATGCAAGTAAATCAGAACCACGTTCTGCCACCTTTTCAGAATTATTAAATAAGATTCTTCGTGAAAGTAGACCTTCAGATTCTTCACTTGGTGCTTTTCAGTATTTATTACTCCATACAGTTGCAGAACGTGACATATCTGCACAGGAAACATGCCATCTCCTCTTTGGTATTCCACTTTATCATTCTAGCTGTTGTTTTGTAACCTTAAATCTTAATAAAGAAGCATTTCGATGGCTTCGTGGGACCGGTAATGAGAACTTTGTAACATTAGGCCAAGTTGGACAAACAGAACAATCTCCCTTACAACGATATTGGAACAGATCAGTTGATCTTGATGATCTCTCATTATTTCAACTTTATCAAGGATATAGGTATTCTAATGGTAATTGAAGGAAATGTGAATGTGAAAACATTGTGCGCATTTGGCCAAGACCAGTGCCCCAACAAAATGGTCCTCAATAGGAAGAGTTTTGCCGAATAAAGGTCCTACTTCATGTTCACCACAGAAGTCTTGAACAGTTAACTGAAAACAACTCTGTTTCATGGTCTGAATTCTTTAATCGAAATCTTGCTGAGATAGAAAATGAACTTAATGATTTACTTGGCCCATTTATTGACAATTTGGAAGAAATTGCTTATGAGGAAGAGAATAAGCAACTAGAAACTGATGAAGATAAAGATGAAACTCGACCTGGTTGAATGATTTTATCAGAAATGGGTCTGAATACAATTATTAATATTTCTTTTGGTTTTGGTTTAAGTAATACTGATTGAAATTATGACTGGGTCAGTGTTGTTAGACAGCATTTTCCAAATCTTAATCTTGCTAAAGTAGATACATTTATACAGCAAGTTCGCAGTAAAGAAGCTCTTAATGATGAAAATTTAGACAACAATACTATAGATTACCAAACCCTGAATGACAATCAAATAAAGATATTTAAGAGACTTGAGACATATTATAATATTATTATTACAGGTAGTAATATTGAACCATTAAGAATAATTATCATGGGAACTGCGGGCACAGGTAAATCATATCTGATTAATGCAATTCGGCAACTACTTCAAGAGATGGCAATAAGGAATGGTGTTGAAAGCTCCCCTATAATTGTGCTTGCACCAACTGGAGTCACAGCTTTCAATATTCACGGGACAACGATTCATTCAGCACTTTCTATTCCAATAAGCGGCACTAATATTGATATAAAAGGTGAAAGTTTAAAGCAGCTACAAAAAAAATTGAATGGTGTAAAATATATAATAATTGACGAAAAAAGTATGATTGGGTGCTGCATGCTTGCTTTAATTGACATGCGGTTATGTCAAGCATTTCCTGAGAAACAGAATCAACCATTTGGAGGTCGATCGATTATATTAGTCAGTGATTTCGGCCAACTCCCACCAGTGCTTGATTTGCCTATGTATGTGCAAAATCTTAGTCATGATCCCTTATCAAATGACGGTATTACAGCATACAGGCAGTTTCAGGAGGTCTATCGACTTGATATTATTCAGTGTCAAGCAGGAGATTCAGAAGAACAATGTCACTTTAGAAATATTCTAATGCGTTTACGTGACGGTGAATCTACTATTAATGATTGGAAAGCACTTAGTACACGTTTTAAAGGGCCACCAAGTGTAATGCCAATAGATAATAATCAATTCTCACATGCTACATATATCCTATCTTGAAAAGTTGAAGTTGAAGAAATTAATATTAACACGCTAAAGTCATTGAATAGTCCTATTGCTAGAATTCATGCTGTTCACACTGGTGGTAATGAAGCATCCAAAGCTGATTCAGATGTGGCAAAAGGCCTTGAATCTCAAATTCTGTTAGCTAGGGGCACTCGTGTTATGCTTAGGGCAAACCTGTATGTAGAGGTCGGGTTAGTTAATGGTGCAATGGGAACAGTCCACGATATATTATTTGAAGAAAATCAAGGACCACCTGCACTTCCTATTGCAATTTTTGTAGAATTCGATGCTTACAATAGCCTCGCGATTATATCCACAGATGATAAAAGAACTATCCCAATCCCACCTATACGACGCTCATGGGATACAAATACAGGGACTTACTCACGTTTACAAATCCCCCTCAGCCTTGTCTGGGCCATCATGGTACATAAAAGCCAAGGACTAACACTTACAAATGCTAGGATCAGTCTTGGAAAAAAAGAATATGCTTGCGGTCTCTCATTCGTAGCAATATCCCATGTCCGTGCTCTGAAGGATATTCTTTTTAATCCATTTTCACTTCAAAGGCTTCAAAAAATAAGGCAAAGTAAGAGAATGCAAGAAAGGAAAAATGAGGAGAACCAATTAATTTCTATGATAACTTAACTGTGAACACAATAATCAATTTATTTTGGAACTGAATTTATTTTTCTACATAGAAGGTCCAGTCAGATCTAATATAAAAAAATGAATTCGGTTGTTAATGAAATTTTATCTGATCGCCTTATACTGTAATGCTATTACTAATCACTCGTTATATTCAGTTTTTTTCTAAGTGCACACACTTTTATTAGCATAGAACTGTAATTTAACTGTACTTAGTATCAGAATTTCACAAGTGATAAATTGCTATGCAATATGATTATGTACTAATCGAATCTTAGCTTTTTTGTTACATGACAACCAGCTTGATTAGATATTTATTACATACTTATGACAGAGAATTATTTTCTTCCATATAAATTTTGGAATCAGTTTTAGTTTTATATGTTAACCCGATTAAAACTAACATATAAACTTACTAAATATAATTTTATTAGAGCTTAAAATAATATACACAATTAAGATTAGAATTTATAATGATAAAAAATTTTTAAAAAACAATATAGTTAAAATAATATATATATATTAGTTAAAAGTCAATATATTAAATAGGGAAATTATAGGCATCTCCCATGGAGATGTATCTCCTACGGGATATATATCTCCCATAACAAAATTCGTTAAGCTTATTTAAGGTAGGATTAGTGTTTGTGTTAGAGTTAGAGTTTAGTGCATAGTTAGTAAAATTGCTCAAGGAAAATTTTTTGTTAGAGCATGAAAGGTGGTTTCTTATGCAAAATTTTGAGAAATAAGCGATTTTTGAAAAACATGAATGTTTGTTTTGATCTTCATGATCGTGTTACGTTACACTAAATTTCGACTCGCCATTGAGTAATTCGTGGGAGATATGCATCTCCCGGGAGATGCCTAACAACATATTAAATAATATTAAATTATATTATTTATTATATTAAACTTCTTAATTTTAATTAGTAATAATAATGTTTTGCTTCAGACCTCTATCAGATCCTGATTTCCTAGTATTATACAGATCAAAAGTTGGCAAAGAGGTTTTAATCAATTAGTTAATAGGCTGTTCAATTAAAAAATAAGAATATATATATTATTTGATAATATTAGGATTTGTAATTATCTGATTAAAAAGTTTAATGTTAAAAAAATAAATAAAAGCTTTGCAGCAATTAAGAATACTATTAATAACATATTTAGAATATGTAAAAAGCATTTCATATCTTTTTTTAGTAACTTATTAAATTTGTTGTCAAAATAAAAAGAGTTTTTGAGAAAGCAAACAGAATAAAGTTGTTTTTAGATATTGAATTTATTGATCAAGTTATAGATATTAATAAGAGTTAAAAAGCATAAAGATTGCACTATAATCTTAAATTAATATTTTAGATTTTTGAGTTAATTTGATTAACATCAAAACTGTTATTAAGATTTTTTATAATTTTAATTAAGTGTTCAAGTTTTTTAAATAATAAATAAAATAAAATATTATATAGAGAGTATTAGTAGTTATAATTGCATTTGTGTACTTTTTTGTTAGAAATAAAATATATTGCAATATTAATAACTAAGTATTTAATTTTGTACTAGTTGGTTTAATACATAAATAATATTTATATTTTATACATATATATTAAAAAAATTAAATAATTTGTTTTATTTTTATTTATTTATTTATTTTTTTTAAGATAATTTGTTTGGTCTTTTGACTTTTATTAATAACTTTTTTGGTAATATAATTGTATAAACTATTACAAAAAGAGTGTATAATTGGCTACATATATAACTTTTCTATATTACTTATTTAGAGAGTCAGCCTAAAGGTTTTTCACCAATTGCTATATCTAACACCTCTGCTTAGATATTCTATTTTAAACTTTCTAAACTTGTATTTGTATTAATATTACTAGCTTATGTCTAGGTTATTATCTAATCTTAAAATTATTAATAATTTGTTTTATTTTAATTTAATATTTTATTTTTTTTAAATATTAACAATAAGGCTAAGCTTTTAACTTTATTGAAATTTAAATAAAGTTTTTATAAAAAAAATCAGCTTTTAAATTATATATAAAAAATAAAGACTTAGACTTATAATCTGTAATTTAAATTTAAAAGAATAACTAAACTCATCTAGATTTAAAATAACTAAAAATATAAGAAAAAAGAATATAATATTTGATTTATTGAATAGTTCAAAAGTTTATTTTAGTTATAAGTTTAGAGATTAAAATAAGAAATGAAGTAAAATTAGAAGAAGAGCTATATATTAAGTTAGTAATAGTTGTAATTTAAGGTTGTTAAGAACAGAAAATACAGTAAAAGATCTAGATATGTTTATATATTTGTTAGTTGAAATGAAAAAGAAATTTGATAAAAAGAAAAGTAATAGTATAATAAAAGATAGATTTGTTATAAATAATATTAATAAGATTAATTGAGACTAAACTAAAATATTGTAAAAATTAAGAAAAGTTTATATAAAAGATTGTATAAATTAAAGCTATTAGACAAAAGAATTTTTTTATACAAGTTAAAAACAAAGTTTGCAGAAAAGTTAAGAGAAGTTGTATTTAAAATAGTATTAAATAAGTTAGAAAGAAGCTAATAAATAGTTTGAGAAAAAAAATAAATAGTTCAATGTAAAGGAATATTAGTCAGGTTGTATTAATGACAAAAAAGAGAATAAAAAGAATTATGTTTATAAAAAATATAAGAAACAAGTAGTACATCAAGTAGAATTTTAATTTAAAAGATTTTGAGTATAGAAAAATAGAAATTGTAAATAAGATTGATAATTTTTTAGTTGTTATTAATATAAAGTAATGCAGCTTCTTAGTTAATATCTAATATAATAGTAGTTTAAAGTTGAAATCTGTGTTAAAATGTTTAAAGTATTAGTATATAGGCTTAACAGATAGTTCAGATAGAGTGCCAAATAGGAATCTTAATAAGAAATTAGTTAAATAAAACAGTATAAAAGAAGTTATAAGAATTGTTAATAAGAAATATAAAGAATAATAAAGTTTGGTAATTGCAAGCTAGTTAATTAGCAAAATTGTTGAATAGATTATCTTAGTAGATAGCAATTTTGTAAAAAGTAAGTTAAATATTATAAAAGTTAATAAAGTTAAGAAGAGTATATCAGATAAAGAAATAAGAAGTATAAATAGAAAATGGCAATTCTAGTGTAGTGATTGGATTGTTATTCTCCAAGTAACAGATTTAAGGTTTAAATCTTATTTATAATAAAATTTGAAAATTATATCTGTATTATAATAACTGTTTTCTGTTAATTAGTTGACCTTATACAGCTATAATTCAGATACACCAAGTTGGATCCTACTAATATTGAAAGCTTAAAGCATCTATGTGAAGTATAATATTATATATACATAGAGGAATGTTAATAATCAGTATTGCATAAAACTTTAGTACAAATCTACAATAAGCCACTAGGTGTAAAAGACTAAGGAATTAAGGTAATAAAAACCTACTTAAAAATTTCTAACTAAAAGGTAATATAAATTTTGATAGTACTATCAGATTAGTTAAAGCCTACAAACCACCTTTATAGAAACAGATCAGATAAACTAGATATTAAATATGTGTTGAAAAGCACTTAACCAACTAGGCTACTAAACTTATTAAAAAAAAAAGAATACAAAAGTATACTATACCAAGCTATCTAAATTAGTAGTTTGGCCAAAATTTGTCAGTTTTGAGCTATAGTTAGTAGAAAATAATAAAGAAAATGTTAGAAAGATAAGTACTAGGTTCTAGTGCATCTTACAAAAATAAAAATAGTATAATATAGCAGTTAAACAGATAACTCCTATAACTGCAAATGTTAAATAATTATAGCATATTTTATAAAACTAAATTAGCTAGATGTAGAACATAATAGGCTTTAGTAAATCTCTTGTTAAGAATAAAGTAGTCTTAAGAGTACCAATAAGCATCAGAAACTTAGATGAGCAGCACTTTAAGATATTTTTATAAAACAAAAAAACTGCATATGCAAAGGGTTTAAATAGGCAAGACCTATAGTTGGTTTGCAAGTATGGCATCTAGTATAAAATCTGTATAGTAATGTATAGGCAGACTACTTAAACTAGACACAAAAGTGCACATGTGGCTAGTTGTAATTTTCAATGTAAGAAAGTCTCTAGAGGTATCTGTGTTCTACAAACTTGAATAAAAAAGTTGTAACCTAAAGATAAAAACTTTAATTTAAAAAAAAAAAAGTATAAATAAAAAAAAAGAAAATAGTAATTGGTAGATGCTTTGATATTTAAAAATAACTAATTAGCAGTTAGTATAAATATAAACAGAGGAATGTCTAAAAGCAGTAATTATTACAAAAAGGATAACAAAAAGTTCTGCTTTAAAGAAATAAGATTAAAGTTTAATTTGTGTATAAAATAAGTTAATAGATAGAAAGTTGTATACTTAAATTTATTTAATACTAATAAAGCATTAAAAAATATTTATATTAATAAGAAAGCCATTAGTATAGAAAAAGATAATAGATTGATTAATATTCAAAATTGGCAATAGTTTATAAGCTGTTGATAAGCTAGCAAGATTGAAAAATAAAAAACAATTAATATAAGTTAATAATTAGAAATAGAAAAAAAAACATATTGAGAGTGCTAGATGGCTATAGAGTAAGCAATATCAAGAAAATTTGTATAAAAATTAAGAGTTTTATTAGGATTCACTTTATTTATATATTTTTTATATAATAAAAAATGATAAAATCTTATTTTAGTTAATAAAAAATGATAAAATCTTATTTTTGGTTAATAATATTATTGTAAATTAAAACTTTAAAGTTTATACTTTTTGGTTTTAATAAAACTTTTATGTTAAGTTCTTAAGTATTAAATAAAATATTTGTTAAACTGACAAAGAAATTGTTAATATTAATTTCAATCTTATTATTTTTTCTAATATTAAACATATTTGTATGTTTTTTTTTAGTAAATATATTATATTTATATAAAGTTAACATTATATAAAGTTGTTTA